ATGGTCAATGAAGAATTTAAGAAGAAACAAAATTCTTGAAACAAATGAAAATTGAAATAACAACATATCTAAACCTGTGGGATACAGCAAAAGCAGCACTAGGAGGGCAGCCGTTCCTCCAAGAAACAAAACAAAACAAAACAAGGATGCACACTTTCACTACTCCTATTCAACATAGTATTGGAAGTCCTAGGTATGGCAATCAGGCAAGAGAAAGAAATAAAAGGCATTCAAATTGGAAAAAAGGAAGTAAAATGATCTCTTTTTACTGGCTTCGTGATCTTGTATCTAGTAAAACCTAAAAACTCCATCAAAAAACTCTTAAATTTGATAAGCGAATTCAGTAAAGATCCAAGTTAAAAACAATAACACTAAAAATATGTAGCATTTCCATATACCAATAATGATCTAGTCACAAAAGAAAGGAAGAAGGAAATTCCATTTAAAATGGCTAAAAATTAAAATATCAAGCAATAAATTTAATCAAGGAGGTGGAAGATCTTCAAAATGAAAACTACAAAATGCTAATGAAAGAAATTTAAAATAATAAAAATGAATGGCAAAACATCTCATACTCATGGATCAAAAGAATTAATATTGTTAAAATTGTGATTTTCTCAAAGTAATCTACAGATTCAGTGCAATCCTCTCAAAATACCAATGTCATTTTTAACAGAATTAGAAAAAAATACGTAATTCACATGTAATTTAAAATAGATTTCTTGATAGGGATAGCATTGAATCTATAAATTACTTTGGGCAAGATGATCATTTTCACGATATTGTTTCTTCCTAACCATGAGCATGGAATGTATTTCCATCTGTTTGTGTCCTCTCTTATTTCCTTGAGCAGTGGTTTGTAGTTCTCCTTGAAGAGGTCCTTCATGTCCTTTGTTAGTTGTATTCTTAGGTATTTTATTCTCTCTGTAGAAATTGAGTGGCAGCTCGCTCATGATTTGGCTCTCCCGTTTGTCTGTTATTTGTGTATAGGAATGCTTTTGATTTTGCACATTGATTTTGTATCCTGAGACTTTGCTGAAGTTGTTTATCATGGTTTTTTAAATAAAATTGTACTTCAAGTTCTGAGGTACATGTGCAGAGCTTGAAGGATTGTTGCATAGGTACACACATGCTGTGGTGGTTTGCTAGCTCCATCCCCCCGTCACCTACGTCAGGCATTTCTCCCAGTGTTATCGCTCCCTAACCTTCCTGCACCCTGTTGTCTCTCCCATAGCCCCCCAACCCCCAACAGAACCCAGTGTGTGATGCTCCCCTCCCTGTGCCCATGTGTTCTCATTGTTCAACGTCTGCCTGTGAATGAGAACATGTGGTGTTTGGTTTTCTGTTCTTGTGTCAGTTTGCTGAGAATGATGGTTTCCAGACTCATCCATGTCCCTACAAAGGACACGAGCTCATCGTTTTTTCATGGCTACATAGTATTCCATAGTGTATATGTGTCACATTTTCTTTGTCCAGTCTATCACTGATGGACATTTGAGTTGGTTCCAGGTCTTTACTATTGTAAATAGTGCCACAATTGACATACATGTGCATATGTCTCTATAATAGAACGATTTCTAATCCTTTGGGTATATAGCCAGTAATGGGATTGCTGGGTCAAATGGAATTTCTATTTTTAGATCCTTGAGGAATCACCACACTGTCTTCCACAATGGTTGAACTAATTTGCACTCCCACCAACCTTGTAAAAGTGTTCCTATTTCTCCACATTCTCTCCAGCATCTGTTGTCTTCAGACTTTAATCATCACCATTCTGACTGACGTGAGATGGTATCTCAATGTGGTTTTGATTTGCATTTCTCTAATGACCAGTGATGATGAGCATTTTTTCATGTATGTTGGCCTCATAATTGTCTTCTTTTGAAAAGTGTCTGTTCATATCCTTTGTCCACTTTTTGAATGGGTTTGTTTGTTTGTTTTTTTCTTGTAAATCTGCTTTAGTTCTTTGTAGATTCTGGATATTAGCCCTTTATCAGATGGGTACATTGCAAAAATTTTTTCCCATTCTGTTGGTTGCTGGTTTACTCTAACAATTGTTTCTTTTGCTGTGCAGAAGCTCTTAGTTTAATTAGATCCCATTTGTCTATTTTGGCTTTTGTTGCCATTGCTTTTGGTGTTTTAGCCATGAAGTCCTTGCCTATGCCTATGTCCTGAATGGTATTGCCTCTGTTTTCTTCTAGGTATTTTATGGTGTTAGGTCTTATGTTTAAATCTTTAATCCATCTGGAGTTAATTTTAGTGTAAGATGCAAGGAAGGGGTCTAGTTTCAGCTTTCTGCACATGGCTAGCCTGTTTTCCCAACACCATTTATTAAACAGGGAATCCTTTTCCCATTGCTTGTTTTTGTTAGGTTTGTCAAAGATCAGATAGTTGTAAATGTGTGATGTTGCTTCCAAGGCCTCTGTTCTGTTCCATTGGTCTATATCTCTGTTCTGGTACCAGTACCATGCTGTTTTGATTACTGTAGCATTGTGGTATAGTTTTAAGTCAAATAGCATGATGCCTCCAGCTTAGTTCTTTTTGCTTAGGATTGTCTTGGCTATGCTGGCTGTCTTCTGGTTCCATATGAAGTTTATAGTGTTTTTTTTTCCGGTTCTGTGAAGAAGGGCAATGGTAGCTTGATGGGGATAGTGTTGAATCTATAAATGACTTTGGGCAGCATGGCCATTTTCACAATATTGATTCTTTCTAATCATGAGCATGGAATGTTTTTCCATCTGTTTGTGTCCTCTCTTATTTCCTTGAGCAGTGTTTTGTAGTTCTCCTTGAACAGGTCCTTTACATCCTTTGTCAGTTGTATTCCTAGGCACTTTATTCTCTTTGTAGCAATTGTGAATGGCAGTTCATTCATGATTTGGCTGTCTTTAAGTCTGTTATTGGTGTATAGGAATGCTTGTGATTTCTGTACATTGATTTTGTATCCTGAGACTTTGCTGAAGTTACTTATCAGCATAAGGAGATTTTGGGCTGAGATGATGGGATCTTCTAAATATACAATCATGTTGTTTGCAAATAGAGACAATTTGACTTCCTCTTTTCCTAACTGAATATCCTTTATTTCTTTTTCTTTCCTGATTGACCTGGCCAGAACTTCCAATACTATGTTGAATAGGCGTGGTAATAGAGGGCATCCTTGTCCAGTGCAGGATTTCAAAAGGAATGCTTCCAGTTTTTGCCCATTCAGTATGATATTGGCTGTAGGTTTGTCATAAATAGCTTTTATTGTTTTGAGACATGTTCCTTCAATACCTAGTTTATTGAGAGTTTTTAGCATAAAGCGCTATTGAATTTTGTCAAAGGCCTTCTCTGCATCTATTGAGATAATCATGTGGTTTTTGACTTTGGTTCTGTTTATGTGGTGGATTACATTTATAGAAAAATGGACTTTTATACACTGTTGTTTGAAATACAAATATAGCCACTATGGAAAATAACCTAGGGATTTCTCAAAAAACTAAAAGTAGAACTACCATAAGATCCAAAAATCTCACTAATCATCATTTATCCCAAGCACAAGAAATCAGTATGTCAAAGGGATACTTGCCCTCTCATGTTTATTGCAGCATTATTAACAATAGGCAAGGTATGGAACCCACCTAAGTGTCCATCAACAGATAAATGGATAAAGAAAGTGTGGTATACATATACAGTGAAATAGTATTCTTCCATAAAAGAAAATGAAACTCTGCCACTTGCAACAGCATGGATGAAACTGGAGTTGTTATGCCAAGTGAAATAAGCCAGGCACAAAAAGACAAAAATAGCATGTTCTCAGTTACATGTGAAAGTTAAAAACGTTGATCACATGAAGATAAAGAATGGAAAGAAAGGTAACAGGGAGTGTGGAGGGTGATTTGGAAGAGAAGGGAAGATGAAGAGAAGTGGGTTAAAAAGTACACACATAAATATAAGATAGAAGGAAAAAATTCAATGTTTGATAGAAGAGTAGGGTGACTATAGTTAATAAAAATGTACTGTACTTGGGTTATGGACACCCTAGATACCCTGATTTGATTGCTATGCATTACATACACATAACATAATTTCATATGTATCCCATAATTTGTACTGATAAAAAATTTTAAAAGAAGATGAACCATCGGAGAGACATTCTCCTGCAGGTTTTAGAAGAGGAAAACAATCAGCTGTTTTGTGAACCACCTATACAGAGTAGCAACCTCTAGGAATTGAATGCCAACCCCAACCAACAGCTATCCAGTAACGTAAGACCTCAGTCATATAGCTGCAAGGAGCTTAATTCTGCCAAAAACTTGAATGAAGATAGAAGGGTCACCTGGGTCCCATATGAGAACTGTATTCCTCACCAACACTTTAAGTGCAGTTTTTGAGACCCTGAGCAGAAGACCTTAGCAGACCATGCCCAGACAATGGACCGATGGAAAGCATGAGGTAATAAATGGCTGTTGTTTTAAGATACAAAGTTTGTGGTAATTTGTTACATAGCAATAGAAAATGAATACAGCATGCTTCTTGTTTTTAGACCTATCCTGGGTAGGCAGAGATGTGCAGTTGTCATTCCAGTGTATGCAGTACAGTTCTGGCCTTCGATTAACTGCTTGAGGTCTATTTCCTGGCCACTAGCCTTTGTGTTGGGTATGTTCTGTCATTTCATCAGTGGTGTTAAGGACAAGTCCTGACAAGTCCTTATGCATTACATAGTGTTAGTACCCTACTCCTTTGCTCCCATCTCACTATATGTTTCTACTCTATTTCTAGACCACAGAGAACTTACATTCTTGTATTATGTATATTATGCAGCTTTTAAAAATTATTTGAAATATTATATGTATCATCTTTTTGTATTTGAAGTTGGAGGGGGATGTTCATGCATGTATATCAGTTGACATGTAGGCCCAGAAATCCAAAAGTACTTAAGTTGGTAAGAATCCTCAATCTGTAATAAACAAGCCAATAAAATAGATTATCTTCAGCAAAATAGTATCTTATAAATGCTGTACCTTGGAGGAGCCAGGGTCTGCTCTAGAAACTCCTCAATTTTAATGAAGTCTGTTTTCAACTCCTTGTTATACACCAGGAAGGGAGGATTGGTACCTGGGGCTAAGTCCTTCAGCTCTTCAGGCTTTCTATGATGATTAAAAATAAGCAGAGTTAGGTCTCTAGGTAAAGTACTCATTATATAAACATCAATATTATTTTGGTGTCTACCAATCTCAATTTCTAGAATTTAATATGTCCTCATTTCTCTTACCTGGTCATGTCAACAGTTGTCACATTGAATTTAACTCCTTTAAGCCAGAGGATCATGAAAAGGCGTTGGCAAAAGGGACAGTTTCCAATACTCTCTCCATCACTTCCAGCCTATTAAGATAAAGAGAGACCTAAGTTCATTTGCTTGTTCAATGAGTATGTATTGAGCGCCTACCAGGAAATGAGCTAGTTGCTAGAGACAAACTTGGACATTCTTAATCTTAAGGACTCCATCATCTATGGACAGAGAGACACAGTGAAGCAAATAATTTCATTACATGTAAAGTTACCAGTGTGATGAGTACATAATAATAATAAATTTTATATATTATCAGAATTTATATAATTTTCCTATTGAGAGACATTGAAGATATTCCAAAATTTTTACTACTCTAAGTACTTCAAAAACAAACATTTCTGGGCATATAGCTTCTTCCACTTCTGAAATTATATCTTTAAGGTTAATCTTTAAAATGAAAATGGTGTTCTAACCAATGCAAGGAAACTAAGAAATCTGAAAAAATGTTAGACGAATTGCTAACTGGAATAGCTAGTTTAGAGAAGAACATAAATGACCTGATGGAGCTGAAAAACACAGCATGAGAACTTCGTGATGCATACATAAGTATCAATAGCTGAAATGATCAAGCAGAAGGAGAATATCAGATATTGAAGATCAACTTAATGAAAAAAAGTGTGAAGATACGACTCGAGAGAAAAGGATTTAAAAAAATGAACAAAGCCTCCAAAAACATGGGACTATGTGAAAAGACCAAACATACATTTGATTGGTGTACCTGAAAGTGATGGGGAGAATGAAATCAAGTTGGAAAACACACTTCAGGATATTGTCCAGGAGAACTTCACCGATCTAGCAAGACAGGCCAACATTCAAATTCAGGAAATACAGAGAACACCACAAAGGTACTCCTCAAGAAGAGCAACCCCAAGACACATAATCATCAGATTCACCAAGGTTGAAATGAGGGAAAAAATGTTAAGGGCAGCCAGAGAGAAAGGTCGGGTTACTCACAAAGGGAAGCCCATCAGACTAACAGTGGATCTCTCCGCAGAAACCCTACAAGCCAGAAGAGAGTGGGGGACTACATTTTTTTTTTTTTTGAGACAGAGTCTCACTCTGTCCCCAGGTGCCAGGCTTGAGTGCAGTGGCACAATCTCAGCTCACTGCAACCTCTGCCTCCAGGGTTCAAACAATTCTCCTGCCTCAGCCTCCCGAGTAGCTGGGACTACAGGAGCATGCCACCACACCCAGATAATTTTTGTATTTTTGGTAGAGATGAAGTTTCACCATGTTGGCCAAGATGGTCTCGATCTCTTGACCTCATGATCCATACACCTCGGCCTCCCAAAGTGATGGGATTACAGGCAATAGCCACCACGCCCAGCCTCAACATTCTTAAAGAAAAGAATTTTCAAACCAGAATTTCATATCCAGTCAAACAAAGCCTCATAAGTGAAGTAGAAATAAAATTTGTTACAGATGAGCAAATGCTGAGAGATTTTGTCACCACCAGGCCTGCCTTAAAAGAGCTTCTGGAGAAGCAGTAAACATGGAAAGAAACAACCAGCACCAGCCACTGCAAAAACATACCAAATTGTAAAGACCATCAACTATGAAGATACTGCATCAACTAACGGGCAAAATAACCAGCTAACATCATAATGACAGGATCAAGTTCACACATAACAATATTAACCTTAAATGTAAATAGGCTAAGTGTCTCAGTTAAAAGACACAGACTGGCAAATTGGATAAAGAGTGAAGATCCATTGGTGTGCTGTATTCAGAAGACCCATCTCACATGCAAAGACACACATAGGCTCAAAATAAAAGGATGGAGGTATATTTACCAAGCAAATGGAAAGGAAAAAAAAAAAAAGCAGGGGTTGGAACCCTAGTCTCTGATAAAGCAGACTTTAAACCAACAAAGATAAAAAGAGACAAAGAAGGGCATTACATAATGGCAAGGGGATTAATGCAGCAAGAAGATCTAACTATTCAAAATATATATGCGCCTAATACAGGAGCACCAAGATTCATAAAGTAAGTTCTTAGAGACCTACAAAGAGACTTAGACTGCCACACAATAATAGTGGGAGACTTTAACACCCCACTATCAATATTAGACAGATCCATGAGACAGAAAATTAACAAGGATATTCAGGACTTGAACTCAGCTCTTGACCAAGCAGACCTAACAGACATCTACAGAACTCTCCACTCCAAATCCACAGAATATACATTGTCTTCTCGGCACCACATTGATCACATAATTGGAAGGAAAACACTCCTCAGCAAATGCAAAAGAATGGAAATCATAGTAATGATTCCTACCAGACTAAAATGCAATCAAATTAGAATTCAGGATTAAGAAACTTACTCTAAACCATATAACTACATGGAACTAGAACAACCTGCTCCTAAATGACTACTGGGTAAATAATGAAATTAAGGCAGAAATAAATCAGGTCTTTGAAACCAGTGAGAACAAAGACACAATGTACCAGAATCTCCCAGACATGGCCAAAGCAGTGTTTAGAGGGAAATTTATAGCACAGGAGATGCCTACAGGGGAAAGCAGGAAAGATCTAAAATTGACACCCTAACATCACAATTAAAATAACTAGAGAAGCAAGAGCAGACAAATTCGAAAGCTAGCAGAAGACAAGAAATAAGATCAGAGCATAACTGAAGGAGAAAGAGACACAAAAGACCCTTCAAAAAAATCAATGAATCCAGGAGCTGGTTTTCGAAAAGATCAACAAAACAGATAGACTGCTAGCCAGACTAATAAAGAAGAAAACAAAGAAGAATCAAATAGACACAATAAAAAATGATAAAGGGGATATCACCACTGGTATCACAGAAATACAAACTACCATCGAGAATATTGTACACACCTCTATGCAAATAAACTAGAAAATCTAGAAGAAATTGATAAATTCCTGGACACATACACCTTCCCAACACTAAACCAGGAAGAAGTCAAATTCCTGAATAGACCAACAACAAGTTCTGAAATTGAGGCAGTAATTAATAGCCTACCAATGAAAAAGCAAAGGATCAGACATATTCATAGTCAAATTCTACCAGAGGTACAAAAAGGAGTTTGTACCATTCCTTCTGAAACTATTCCAAACAATAGAAAAAAAGGGAATCCTCCCTAACCCATTTTATGACACCAACATCATCATGATACCAGAAACTGGCAGAAACACAACAAAACAAGAAAATTTCAGGCCAATATCCCCGATAAAAATTGATGCAAAAATCCTCAATAAAATACTGGCAACCGAATCCAGCAGAACATCAAAAAGCTTATCCACTACAATAAAATCAGCTTCATCCCTGGAATGCAAGGCTTGTTCAACATATGCAAATCAGTAAACATAATCCACCATTTAAACAGAACCAAAGATAAAAAACACATGATTATTGTAATAGATGCAGAAAAGACCTTTGATAAAATTCAACAATGCTTCATGCTAAAAATTCTCAATAAACTATGTATTGATGGAACATATCTCAAAACAATAAGAGCTATCCATGAAAAACCCATAGTCAATATCATACTGAATGGACAAAAGCTGGAAACATTCCCTTTGAAAACTGGCACAAAACAAGGATGCCCTCTCTCAGCACTCCTATTTAACATAGTATTGGAAGTTCTGGCCAGGTCAATCAGGGAAAAAAAAGAAATAAAGGGTATTCAGTTAGGAAAAGAGTAAGTCAAATTGTCTTTATTTGCAGATGACATGATTGTATATTTAGAAGACCCCATCGTCTCAGCCCAAAATCTCCTTAAGCTGATAAGCAACTTCAGCAAAGTCTCAGGATACAAAATCAAAGTGCAATATTGCACTATAACATACAAACAGACTATAATAAACAGCCGAATCATGAGTGAACTCCCCTTCACAATTGCTACAAAGAAATAAAATATCTAGGAATACAACTTACAAGGGACGTGAAGGACCTCTTCAAGGAGAACTACGAACTACTATTCAAGGAAATAAGTGAGGACACAAACAAATGGAAAAACATTCCATGCTCATGGATCGGAAGAATTGGTATCATGAAAATGGCCATACTGCCCAAAGTAAGTTGTAGATTCAATGCTAACCCACCAAGCTACCATTGATTTTCTTCACAGAATTAGAGAAAAGCTACTTTAAATGTCATATGGAACCAATAAAGAGCCCATATAGACAAGACAATCCTAAGCAAGCAAGCAAACAAACAAACAAAAACAAACATAAAAAAATAAAAAAAGCTGGAGGCATCACACTACTCGACTTCAAACTATACTACAAGGCTACAGTAACCAACACAGCATGGTACTGGTACCAAAACAGAGATATGGACCAATGGAACAGAACAGAGGCCTCAGAAATAATGCCAAACATCTACAACCATCTGATCTTTGACAAACCTAACAAAAACAAGCAATGGGGAGATTCCCTATTTAATAAATGCTGGTGGGAAAACTGGCTAGCCATATGCAGAAAACTGAAACTAGACCCCTTCCTCACTCCTTATACGAAAATTAACTGGAGGTGGGTTAAAGACTTAAATGTAAAACCTAAAACCATAAAAACCCTAGAAGAAAACCTAAGTAATACCATTCAGGGCATAGGCATGGGCAAAAACTTCATGTCTACAACACCAAAAGCAAAGGCAACAAAAGTCAAAATTGACAAATGGCATCTAATTAAACTTCAGAGCTTCTGCACAGCAAAAGAAACTATATCATCAGAGTGAACAGGCAACCTACAGAATGAGAGAAAATTTTTGCAATCTATCAATCTGACAAAGGGCTAATATTTAGAATCTACAAAGAACTTCAACAAATTTACAGGAAAAAAACAACCCCATCAAAAAGTGGACAAAGGATATGAATGGACACATCTCAAAAGAAGACATGTGTGTGGCCAAAAAACCTATGAAAAAAGCTCATCATCACTGGTCGTTAGAGAAATGTAAAACAAAACCACAATGAGATACCATCTTGTGTCAGTTAGAATGGCAATCATTAAAAAAATCAAGAAACAACAGATGCTGGAGAGGATGTGGAGAAATAGGAGAGAAA